TGACGCTGAGAGGTGGGGGGAGATTTTAAGAGAGGTGAACAGAGGAAGCAAAAGAGAGGAGGGGGGAAAAAAGGCGAGAGGCAACTTAGAAAAACCCTGGTGAAAAAAGAAAACATTAGGACGTTTAACCCTATATTCCACCCCAGCCCTGGCATTTTAAAGAGCCAGTGTCCCTTGGCTGGAGAAACTCCGCCTCCTGTTTCCCGGCGTGCCTTGCAGGGAATAGGAAAGAGAAGGAAGGAAGGAAACTCCTGAAGTGGGAGGGAGGAAAAAAAGTAAGTACAGTACAAGGATCCAGAATTCAGTGAAGGGATTTTAAGACGGGTGGGGTGAGAGGCAAGGCTGGAAGGGAAGGCCGCCGAAGAAGTGTTGGAGCGGGGGAACCACAAAGGAAAGGTTACTGAGGACGTTTGGGGACACGAGGCTGGAAAAGGAAAGATTTTGGTGGTGGTTGTTATCATCCCATACACACAAGCACAAACTTTAAAAAAAAAAAAAGCTCACTCCTCCTGAGGTGCATTTATGGAGCAAGACTCATTATTCTATTAGTGGCAGGATTGACTAAGAGGCTGTGGCTTTGGAAGAAGCTGCAATGGAGCCACTTCCCATGAATTTTGACTTCAGGCACCTCATTTCCTCCTGTCATTTAAACTGGCATTAATTGCCCCATTATTTCCATATTATCTGTTTGCTAAGTTGAAGCCATCTGTTTTTTCCAGGGCTATTAAAGTGAAATTGGCTCTTCAGATGGATTAGCACGATGGGCCTGGCATTGCATTTCGGTTCGATTTATTACCTCTCCAGGTTTAAGTTCCTGGGTTATATAAATTATTGCACTTTTGAAACACCATCAGTTCCTCCAAATAGACTTTCCAGATTAAAAAGCTTCCAACAAATTTCGGGGGATGCACAAAGAATACCAATAGGTAGAGTGGAAGGAATTAGCAAAAGGAATTAGTGTTTGTGAAAACACTTTTGCATTCTTTTCTATGCGCAATTGAAATAACAGGCCTGCCGTTATTTCAAATAATTCACCTGCCATAGTTCGATTAATCAAAGTTCAATAAGCCAAATTAGAAGATGTAGTTTATAAATTAGTAGTATACATTGAATGTTTCATACTTCATGTCAAGCCAAAACCACTCACATTTTAGCTTGGGGGTGATGCGAAATCTCTGGCACTGTGTTAACATCGATAGTGCACAAAAATACTTTTTGGTCCAGAAACCTGTTAGGATTATGATTATATATTCTCTAGATAATCTATATATTCTCTATATAATATTAATAGGCGGGACTTAAACCAGTTTCCCAATTCGTGTGAACTGGGAAATTCTTGGCCAAGTAAAATATATTAATTGCAAATCCATACGAGGGAAGACAAAGACAAGGAAGAGCAATTGCAAATGTCTTTTCTGTTTGGCATAGAAACCAAAATAACTAGGAATTGCACCCTCTAGAGTAGGATAGATAGAACAGAACAGAACAAAATATGGAATGGGTTGGAATGGAATGGAATAGAATAACAGTTGGAAGGGACCATGGAGGTCTTCTAGTCCAACCCCTTGCTTAGGTAGGAAACCCTACACCACTTCAGACAAATGGTTATCCAATCTCTTCTTTAAAACTTCTAGGAGGAGGCTCTATTAATGCAGAGAAGTAAGCAGTTTATGATGTTAAGGTGCTGAATCAGGGTTTGGATGGGGCCACTTTGGATAATAAAAGCTTCGTTTGAGATGGTGCTTCTCTGGATCTCCTCCCCTCTGTCAACTCTAGAAATGGCTCTAGCTGAAGCTGAAGCAAAAACTCTTGACTTGACTTCATTTCTAAGTTGCCATGTCTATTGTACTCTATTGTACCCTATGACTATTAAGTGTTGTACCTTGTGATTCTTGACTCCTGATGAATGTATCTTTTCTTTAAGTACACTGAAAGCCTCTGCACCAAGACAAATTTCTTGTGTGTCCAATCACACTTGGCCAATAAAGAATTCTATTCTATATTGGGGCGGGGGTGGTGGTGGGGACTGACGATTTGAAGAATGTAGAATGTTTTTCTCTACAGTGCCAGGCATATCAGCAATAAGGTCTTGAGAACCAAGGTCAGCTCAAAGTGCCCTAGCAATGGCAGGAGGGAGTGTTGAGAAGTTCATCGCCTGCTTGGTTGATTAACATGACCTATGACACAAGACGGGGTGTGGGCAATATCTATTCTTTCATTATACCAAAGTGCGGGAATTATTCAGAGTTGGTTTCATGTTTGAATGTTCCAATATGATGTGTCCAATAAACAGGATCTTTGAGAAAAGCCTTAGAGTCTTTTGAATGGATTGGGAGCATTACTTGGAACTATGACACAACCCTCATTATCCAACCCATAGATATCTGGGCCTCGGTGCGATGTCCTCTTTCTGACCAGCGATAGTTTTCAATGTGCAAAGTCTATTTTTTTAAAGAACAGCACTCAATTATGGGAGCCGTAACTTGTAGATTGAATTTGTAGTGCTGAGTGGTGACCAGAAAGAAAAACAGATTTGAGGTATTAAATTAAAAGGTGTTCGCCTTTTCTCTGAATTCTCTGGTTTATCCTTGCCTCATTTATTTGTTACTTGCACGTTGTCTCTTTTTACGTCTTCTCCTACAATTTATATATTTTTGGCTCTTTCTCTTTTCCCCTTCTGCTCCAGCTCTTCTGAAAAGCCCGCAACTGAGTCCCAAAGAGAGAAAACTTCTCGACCGCTGCAGCCATGCCCTCCAATAAGGACGCCTCTGGCTGCCTCGGCTCACCGCCAGGTTTGATCTGCTTGCCGCCCATCTCTGAGGACCTCCAGCTGGTGTGGACCCAGGCGGCCCAGACGAGTGACCTGGACAGTAACCAGCACCTGCTGCAGACTTTCAGCTATTTCCCATATCCCAGCCTTTCTGACCTGGCTTTGCTCTGCCTGCGTCACGGCCTGCACATGGAGAAGGTGAAGGCTTGGTTCATGGCGCAGCGGCTGCGCTGCGGCATCAGCTGGAGTGCCGAGGAAATCGAAGAGACTCGGGCTCGCCTCATCTACCACCAGGACCAGCTTCACTTTAGTTGCCTGCTGGCTGGCAACCAGGGCAACTCCTGGCACCACCAGACTTGCAAAAGCCCTTCGTACTACCACCAGCTGGCTCCCCACTCCCTGCACTACTCCGGTAAATATCCAGAGAACCAGCAACCTCTTGTAACCTCCTTAAATCATTGTAGTACAGCTCCAGGGACAAAAGAACTCGGGACGATCGCTCAGGACATTTGGAAACTGCAGGAAAACACCCCATCCCACTATAGGAAAGCTCAGGAACATTTTGAACCTTCAGGGATCATGGTGAATTTTCAGAATACCAAAGAGACTGTTTCCGGTGCTTATCCACCCATCACAACCCTCGGCCTGGATTATAATGTCCCAGATTCTCCCACGATGGCCTGGAGCTTCCCTGCGCCTGCCGTTAATGGTGGGCACCACCCGGTGGTTCTTCCACTGGGTTCTTCGGTGAAAGTCAGCCCGTCCTCCTCGAAAGTGACAACCAGCGTCGCAGACTGGCAAAACCATCAGCACTCTTTCAGCGACCAGCAGGCTTCTTTGCCAGAGGTTTTACGGAAGCCTAGGCGGAAGACAAAGGAGCAACTGGATTTGTTAAAGGCCTTCTTCCTTCACCGGCAATGGGCCAGGAGAGAGGATTACCACCAATTGGAGAAAGTAACTGGGTTACCCCGGGCAGAGATCATCCAGTGGTTTGGAGACACGCGTTACGCCCTGAAGCACGGTCAGCTGAAATGGTTCCGGGACAATGCAGGGCAGAGTCCTGAGCCTGCTTCCTTAGGAGGACCTCCTCCTCCCGAGCCATGCACAAATTCTCCAGACACAAGCCCCCTGGAACAGTATTGGGCCACCCACACGCAGCTGCAGGAGAATGACTTGCCAATGCTCTGTCGCAAATCGGGAATGAGCATAGAGCAAGTGTTGAAGTGGTTTCACTCACACTTGCCGGCCCCATGCGAGGTGGAGGTGTGTCTGGGAGACGACGATGAGGTAGATGAAGACATGGCAGCTGCGATGATAAAGGCTGAAGATGAAGACTACGACGAAGACGAGGATGTGGAAGAGGAGGAGGATGAAGACTGAAGGACTTTTGTGTGGATGCTGGAGGGTTTGTACTTCTCAGAGGAGCAGGTGGAAGGATCAGTCAGGCAGATTAGTCAGTCCTGAGAGTGAGGTTTCTGTCCCTAGCACTTTCCTGCTGGTAGCAGTGACCCACATCACTTACATACTAGAATGTATTTTTTCTCCTTTGAGCCTTTAAAAACAAAAACAGTCTTTTTTCCATTCAGTGTTTATCAAGGCAGAATCACAACAGTCTAAAGATGGGGTTTCCAACCCTTTAAATGCAAGTGGCCATAATATATGAATCCCTTCAGCAATCGCTGGTCTCAAATGATTTATTTGGAAAAACTTCAGTTGGTTAATTGCCTTGCTTTGGTTTCATATTGTTTCTTCTAGAAGTTTTCCTTAATAATTATACATTTCTTCCCTAGGTCATTAAACTATGAAACCCAACAATTGCCTAATTTTGTTACCTTTTCTAAGGCTTGGAATACAGATATTTTTCATTTACGCTTGGATGTATCTGTCTTGATTCTGTTTGTTCCAATTTATTTATTTTTTTATTCAAATTTAGAAATTGGATCGTTCTTTACCAGAGTTACAGAGATTTGGCAACCCCACTCTTTCAAATTCCATGAAAGCCATACATATAAGATTTAATTGGTCTAAGCTCACATACCAACTATGTTTTATTTTTTTTGAGTAAATGAACGGTTAAAGTAATTATTTGTTGTCGGTGCTTATGTTTTGTTTTATATGCCAGTTCTTTGAAATCAAAGAAATGTACAGGTGAAACTCAAAAAATTAGAATATCATGCAAAAGTTCATTTACTTCGGCAATGCAACTTAAAAGGTGAACCTAATATATGAGATAGACTCATTACGTGCAAAGCAAGATAGTTCAAGCCGTGATGTGTCATAATTGAGATGATTATGGCTTACAGCTCATGAAAACCCCAAACCCACAATCTCAGAAAATTAGAATATTATATGCAATCAATAAAACAAGGATTGGTACATAGAACAATATCAGACCTGAAAAGTATAAGCATGCATATGTTCTCAGTACTTGGTTTGGGCCTCTTTTGCAGCAATTACTGCCTCAATGTGGCATGGCATAGAAGCGATCAGCCTGTGGCGCTGCTGAGGTGTTATGGACGACCAGGATGCTTCAATAGCGGCCTTCAGCTCTTCTGCATTGTTCGGTCTCATGTCTCTCATCTTTCTCTTGGCAATCCCCCATAGATTCTTTATGGGGTTCAGGTCAGGTGAGTTTGCTGGCCAATCAAGGAAAATGAAGTCAGCATCCCCATAAAGCTCATCTGCCGAAGGAAGGATGAAGTGCTCCAAAATCTCCTGGTAGATGGCTGCGTTGACCCTGGACTTAATGAAGCACAGTGGACCAACACCAGCAGATGACACGGCTCCCCTAATCAACACAGACTGGAAACTTCACACTGAACTTCAAGCATCTTGCAGTGTGTGCCTCTCCATTCTTCCCTCTGGGTCCTTGGTTTCCAAATGAGATGCAAAAGTTGCTTTCATCAGAAAAGAGGACTTTGGACCACTGAGCAACAGACCAGTTCTGTTTTTCTTTAGCCCAGGTAAGACGCTTCTGATGTTGTTTGTTGTTCAGGAGCGGCTTGACAAGAGGAATATGACATTTGAAGCCCATGTCCAGGATCCGTCTGTGTGTGGTGTCCACTCCTTGTGAAAGTCCTAACACTTTTGAATGGCCTTTTCCTGACAATCCTCTCCAGGCTGCGGTCATCCCTGCTACTTGTGCATCTTTTTCTTCCACACTTTTCCCTTCCACATAACTTTCTATTAATGTGCTTTGATACAGCACTTTGGGAACATCCAACTTCTTTTGCAATTACCTTTTGAGGCTTTCCCTCCTTATGGAGGGTGTCAATGATGGTTTTCTGCACAACTGTCAGGTCAGCAGTCTTTCCCATGGTTGTGATTCCTACTGAACCAGACTGAGACCATTTAAAGGCTCAGGAACCCTTTGCAGGTGTTATGGCTTAATTAGCTGATTAGAGTGAGACACTTTGAGCCTAGAATATTGAACCTTTCATATTCTAATTTTCTGAGATTGTGGATTTGGGGTTTTCATGAGCTGTAAGCCATAATCATCTCAATTATGACACATCACAGCTTGAATTATCTTGCTTTGCATGGAATGGATCTATCTCGTATATTAGGTTCACCTTTTAAGTTGCATTACTGAAATAAATGAACTTTTGCACAATATTCTAATTTTTCGAGTTTCATCTGTAGAAAACAGACTAAGGCTATCTTTCCTGTTTTCATGCCTTCAAGATACACTAAAAAAATGTTAGTTTCCAGACTGGTACTTAATATGGTGACTGTAGCTGTTATATTCAAATTGATATTTTATCATTAATCCTCCATTTTCATTCTCTCCTTTATTTAAAAATATCATTTTTGGAATGACTTCTAATATCTGCTTTTAATAGTCTTCTTTATCATGTGACTTTCTTTTAGTTGCTCTGTTTTCTTTTCCTTGTTCTGTTAGTGCCTTGATTCACCAGCTTTCCCTATCATCAGTTTTTCCATTCATGTCATATATCTGGTCTGTAGTTGGTTGATATAGTGAATTCAATGCCAGTTAGAGATATTGTAAGATAACAAGAGTGGCCTCTTGCAAAAGAATTGCAAACAGTCCTAAAAGCTTGGTATCTTCTTTTGTCAAACTGTCATTGCCCTCAGATTGATGGGGAAAATAAAACTCATACATTCTGAGAATAGCTTTAGAGATTAATTTGGAGGAATTTGCAAATTTGTGAAAGTATGAAGAGGTAGACAGAGATTAATCATCTGTATTTTAAAAATTCTATTTCAATTTTTTTAAAGTAGGATCTTTACAGAAATAGCCTCTGCCTCTCCAGGCAAGAGAATTTTAAAGTACTGAAATAAGCTAATCAACCTTAGGTAAAGAGAAAATGGTACATGGATTATGCCATACTTAGTGAAATGTTCAAAGGCTGTAACTTGTCCAAGATAGAACTAAGCAGAATAATTTGATTTGTTGACTGGTTACTTAATAAATTGAATGAGTTAATAGATAATTACGTTCAGTAAATTATATCTGTCTTTTTCCTCTTTCTAAGTATAGTCTTTTTGAAGGCTTATCTTTTTTATTTTAGTCCGGGAAGCAACGTTGATTGCAAATACAGTAACCCTACATTATGTGCAACCTGGGTCAAATTGTTTGCATATTTCATCTTAGACAAAGGATTTTAGCTCAGAGAACATACAACGTAATACATTTCCTTCTTAGCAAATCTAGTCACAAAGTAAGATTGGAGCTAGGATCCACAGGTCAGTTAATGGGCTATAATTGATAGTTAAAACAGTAACAACTCTGCTACTGCAGAGTTCACTAGCTAGTTTTAGCCATTTTCCTCAAAAGACTTTATAGGGTTTTATTTTAAAATTATGTCACATATGCTAAGTGCATTATACACTTTGCCTTGTATAATAATTTATATTTATTTACTACGATTCATACACCAGTTGGTTTCAGGCAACTGTGAACGGCTTATTACAAGTCACAAAAAATATTTAAATATAATTTTAATCAAAACAAGTCTCCTAATGGCATCACTCAATTACTAATTGATTGCTTTTTAATAAGGCTCAAATATTCAAATACTGCAGGAAATCTGCACAGAAGAGTCTATCTTGCATCTTACATTAGGATGATGTTTAAGAGAACAGCTGCTTTGGCCACCCCCATTATTGCTGGTGGATTTGGCTGATGGATGAATACCTGGGGAAAAGTACAATTAACTAGTTGCGTGGAGCCAGTCTTCCCAGTTTAGGACTGGATTAATTGTTCAGCTTGCTTAGCAAAATTGTATTCTGATTTTTGATAATGTATTTCTAATGTACTACAATTTTAGTTTAACAGAAGACATGGGGAATGAGGAGAAAATAGGGACTTTGTCCCTTTGGATGCTGCCATTAAGATTTCTAAATTGTAAAGCTGGGACTTAAACAAATTTAACATTTAACAGCAAAAAAAAATTCATCTTACTGGCAAGGGTGATGAAAACTAGAACCAGGGTGGGGGCGGGGAGTAGAGGGGAGCCATAATTTCACTTGGATATGGATTACATTCATCGTCTTTCACAAAGCTGTGTCATGTAACATGAAAGGGTGAGAATGAAGAATCCATGTGGGTCTCACTTACCTGTGGGGAAAGGATGGTGTTGAGTGAGGTGTGAATCTCAGCTGAGAATGACAGAAAAAGAAAAGCAGCTGAAATGGGTGAACCTTTTCCTAGCATGTCTAAAGTCTGTAGAGAATCTCAGTCATCCAGGTCATGGTTGTCCCAAAGGTGCTTTTTCAAGAGGCAACTGGACTTTTTTTGCTTTTTCTCTTGAAGACATTTTGCTTCTCATCCAAGAAGCTTCTTCAGCTCTGACAGGATGATGGGGAATGGAACCATGACCTAGATAACTGAGAATCTCTACAGACATTTAGCTATACAATTTGGGATGAACACTTTTGGAATTGTGTGGGAGTAGGAATGGATTTTCAAAGGAAAAAATTGCAGACTACAGGAACCAGGAGCACCACCCAGGTGACCCTGAGGACACAGATAAACCTCCAAGTGCTTCAACAACTCCCTAAAAGGACGCAATTGCCAGCTGTCCGCAAGGAATATAAATCCTTCCATTCCCCACTATCCTGTCAGACTCGAAGAAGCTTCTTGGATGAGAAGCGAAATATATTCAAAAGAAAGAACAAGAAAGCCTAGTTGCCTCCTGAAAAAGAACCTTTGGGACTACCTATCTACAATCTTAATTTTTACCTGTAGGGAGCGCAGTCTTTCAGCATTGTGGTCAGGAACAGAAGCACCTGCTGGATCTATAAAACAAAAGCAACAGGAGGGCAAGTTCTGTGGGAGTTGAAGGGCTATCTTCACACCTTAGTCGCTTTTGGCATTTGCATATTTCATGTGTCAGCTTGCCTAACCATTCTGGAATACATAATGCCAGACTTCAATATGCTTTGGGCAGACTGGTAATGTCAGGCATGCATCAAAAGAAAAGAGGACTTTTGTAGGCAAAACCGAGGGAGATTAGGACAAAGGTTTAATTTTACTTAAAAGAAAATAACAGTATAGTTGATGTGATTATTCCTTGTGTATGGTTCTCTTTCTGTTAACTTTAAACAGTACTGGTCAATGAGAGTCACTCAAGCTAAATCCAGTGCTTTGGGACTCACCTGTAGCTAGTGAGTCTTAGATGTTATGAGTATTTACAAGTCATTATAAGCCAAATTTACATAAGGAGCTAGATCACAACCAAAAGTAGCGTGTTTCTGCACAAAAACATTGAGGAATAAACATATATTTGCCAAAGAGGAACACTTTCCTCACCTGGAAAGATGCCGAGGTTGAAGTATGGAGTTTCTTGTGGCTCCCCAGGGTTACTAGCACTCTGACTCGCCATTGGGGTTTGAAGATTGAAGACATTGAAACTGGGGGTGTGGGAAATGAAAGGAGAGGACCTAAAAGGAGGAAGGAGGGGAAAGTGACAGAAATCCTGATCATTGTGGAAGACAATACTAAATATTTTTAACTTACACTGTGTAACTATATGTAAGCAGCAGCACCATCTAGGCCTTCTCCGACTCACCTGTAGAATAAGCTCTGCATGGAGTCTGAAGATGGAGTAGCTGTCAAATAGAATGTAAAGGTGTTACATCTGGAATGAATAGTGGAGATCAAATGGAAAGGTGATGGGAAGTTTAAGGATAGGTATGTGGGGAAAAGGTGGTGTGAGGAGTAGATCAAACAGAAATCCTTTTATTCGTTACAGAGAGGGAATGTGGCTTCTCTTCACAATAAATTCTGTCCTAAATAAAAAGCTGTGAAAGGATGCTTGTCTGTAGAAATAATACCCTGGAAGATTCTTGATTTTTTTTTTCCTTTGGGCTCCTGTATTGCCTGGAATCTCAATACGGCAGAAATTTATTGTTTGTTGACAGTTCTTACCATTCGCAAAGACTGACGGGGTTGTTCTGATGGCTCTCCTATGCTGAATAAAGGGGGAGAAAAGTTTAAAGGAATTTTCATTTATTTATCTCATTTGTATCAGAGCAGCATACCACAAAGCTAAGAATAGTGATTAGATATGTAAAATCATTGCAAAAATATTAAGAACTATAAAAAGCAAAGCCCACGTAGAAATACAGTGAGATATGAAGAAATGTTTAATGGAACAAAAGTACTAAAAGGGCAACTATTAAAATATTCAGAAACACCTTACAGCTAACATTATTGTTTTTTATTGCAGATAAACCAGTTTGGGGCTTTGGGGCTTTCAGGATCTCCCGGTGAAACCTCCTTTTAAACCACATTACAGCTAAGGAAACGGTGGTTCTGCCCAAGCCATGTGCAGCTAAAGAGAAGGAAGAGCCCAGAATGTTTTATGTCCCAAAACAGTTTTTCATTTGGGCAGATGGTATCAGTGGAATTTTATTCTCAAAACTACTTCAAATAACTGCACGAAACAAAGCAGTCATTTCCTGGTAAAAGAAAAGCAGTGGCAGAAACTAACCTGCCAGCTGAGGGGATGGCTGACTCTGGAAGAAATGGAATCCATAGAAGATGAGCGGCTGAGAAAAGAGGCACAATAGGTCAAGAAGCTGTCACTAGTACAACTGAAAGCTAAATCTGCAATCAAATGCATTGTACCCTTATGGTTTTTTAAGTATAACAATCATATTTTGCTGTAAGGGAGCTAGACTGAAAGGACCATAGTCGCAGCAAGGAGATTCTAAGATATGGAAAGACACTTACTCCACTTAGAATATCCACACCTTAGAATAGAAGCCACTTGTCTGAATAGAGGATCCCTTCCATCTCAATTCTGAATTCTGATTTCTTGAAGAAAACATTGTTCATTCTCTTTAATTCTGAGCAAGTTTCTAAACTTTATGCAATCTGGAGCACATTTAGAATAGTGGCTGCCATGGAAAACTTAGTTCAAAATATCCTTTGCCAGAAAACCAACTAGCTCTTCGGGATATTTTCACCATCCAACTGGGATTTTTGTGTGGACTCAAAAGGTATACTAACTAGAATGAAGCATTTTTGCTGGCTTGTTTATTTCCACATTTGACAGTTTTTACCAAAAACTGCTGTCAAAGGAGAGTTTTTTTATAGAAACTATTAACAGTATGAATCACCCCTAACTAAAAAATATAATAATTACCTGACCACCTCACTGGAGCGCTGGAAAATTGGTTGTGGTGTAACTGCAAAGTATGAGATAGTTACTATGTAGTCATGGTTAACTCTGCTAGTAATACATGTTGGCCTGAGATAATAAATCTTATACTTGGATATATCTGTCCATATCCTACATTGATCCAGGCAAATATCCCTATAGCTAAGTAAGCATACACAAAATATTACCCTGAAACGAGTGAAGTGATTCAGGATCCTTATCTCTTACCTGTCTGTGAGGGAGGAGTGATGGCAACCGGCTTTGGGGTGTTGTTTCTGCATCAAATTGAAATGAGTTTGATTGGTTAGGATAACTACTCCTCCCCACTCACCCCTAAATATTAGGGTTTTTCTCTGTCCTGTGTTTTCAGTGCTGGCCAATGATGGCTCAAGCTCCTTCATTTTGCCAGAGAGATCTCCTATAGTACTGCCTCTATTTCATGGGCTGCCGGTCCTGATTAATGTTTCCAAAGGACAGAACAGACATACTGACCTGCTATCCTGGTGTTCTCTGGGAAAAGCCTGTTGAGAGAAGAGGGAAGATTTGGGAGTCAATAGCCGGGCTCCTAACATGCAAAGGACTTTGATTTACTCTCTCCTCGATTTATTCTCTTCTGCAGAAGAGCAATAGGCATTGCTGCCAGCAGAGGGTGACAAGAAACCAAATAAAGGAAATATATAATTATTTCCACCAAGCATCTTACCTTCAGGTTGAAGTACTTCTTCTTCAGTTCCCTATTTTCCTTCTGTACAGCCTCTAGTTCTCTACATATAGAAGTGGCAGGCAGGAGAAACAGAAAGCAGGTAATAATAATAATATGCCGTGATGCTTTAAAGCCCACTAGAGAACACTTCAGCACTGATGAGAATAAAGGAGGAGGGCTGCCTTTGGGGCTATGCAAGCTATTAGTTTCACTTCACAAATTATCAACATGTTTTAATGGCTGATATCAGGAGGGAGCAGTAGCCTGGAGTCTTCTTTAGAAAAGTATATAATCCTATTTGCTTGCCACAGTTTTTATCTCCATCAAAAATAAAACAAGTATTTCTTTTTTCCCTTCCAATTAGGACAACTGAAGGATATTTCCAGCTCATTCAATAACTTTCTTTTGGGGAAGAAGGGACAGGAAAGAATGGCTTTCTGGATATATGAACGGAAAAAATTGTTTTGGGTATTTTAATTAAACAGCCCAGAGTGGGGGGGTTGACTTAAGAAGGTACAATGGACCTTTGATCAACCAGTAATGTTCTTAATTGAGTGACAATATGAAACTAGATCTTGTAAAATTAATCATATTAACTTCACTAATCCCTACAAATAAAACTAACAGGCTGTATTCACAGAGTAGGCCAAGAGGTAAATGAAAGACCTAGACACTGTATTTGCACAACCTGTTAACCTTAGTTTGAATCTATTTAGCTTCACTTATGGCTTGGAGTGCTATATGAAGCAGCTTATTTGGTACTTCAGTGTATTCTGTATATTATATGTCCTCCTAGAGAATAGGATATTTTAATATTCATACTGTGTTGTGCAGACACATTTATACTGTTTTCCTTTCTTAAATGAACACAACCTGCATATCTCACTTTTCCTGGATAGTTAGTTTGTGGAGAGCTTGCTGGAGTGCTCCTTCAGCTTTTGAAGCATTATTTTTGTAGAAAGAGACCAGCAGGTCCATCTGGCTCTTCTGGAATGTCCATACCTAGAAAGAAGACCAGAAGGCACGAGAGAAATGGATTTCAAGGAAATTCAGCATTTGGTCTCATGACTGTAACTCATTTAGAGATATAAGAAACAGCATGTGTGGAACCTTTCAAGTCCAAGTACATCACTCAGAGCAGAAGACATCTCCTGTATATGGATCGTACACGACCAATCCCTACAAATCACAGTAGGCTTGTGATAGGAAACCTTTGGATTCTGAATATTATTCAAATCTTTTTTTTTCATGGTTTTATTAATTTATGACATACAAAAAGAATACAAAAGCAAATATTAGGTAAATTAGAAAAGGAAAAAAGGGAAGTGGATAATGGAAAGCAAGGGAAAAGGGAAAAAAGGCATTGACTTCCGATTCCTTTGGTGCAATAAAATAAGGCATTAAGATTATTAATATCATTCAAATCAAACTCCCACACATTTCAACTAGGATGGTCAGCAGTAACAGCTGATGGGAAGATTTGTACAGTGACATCTTTCCTAGATTGGAAGTCTCTGATCACAGTCACTCATGCCTGATCACCTTTTTTTTAGATTGCCAATATGTTGCCAAGAGTTGACAATCATTTGATGACACACAATCATTTTGCTGTATCTATATCTACTCTTCATTATGATTACAACTCAGTTTTCTGGTTTACAGCCCTATAGGGCTTGAGGTCTGGTAATCTATGGGATTACCTTCTCCAAATGCCTACTCAATAAGATTATAGACTCTTTCTGGATCCCGTTTCTTAAGACACATCATTTTCAGAGATCCAGCTGACTTCCTTCTCTGGAGCACCATTGCTGAGATCAGATTGTTTCCCACCCTTTTGCTGGGGGAAACCTTGGAGTAAATTTGTAATGAGAGTCACAGTCCTGATATGGATTGGATGTTATTAATTTTGCTCATTAGAGTACGATGATTTGTTTTGCTATTTATTTTTATTACCATTTTTATTATATTTGCATTATTTTATAAGATGCTGAGTGCCTTGTTTGAATTAGAACTGGCATAGGACTGGCAGTAATGGCACTGTGCTTACATAGAAGACCTATATGGGCCTTAATAGAAAGAAATGGAGAAGGGGAAGGCAAAGGATAAGGGGCAAAGTCCAAAGTTTTGACTTTATTTGGCCAAGTGTGATTAGACACACAAGGAATTTGTTTCCAGTGGAGAGGGAGGTTATTCTCCAAAAATCACAGACCTGGCTTTTCCCAAAAGCACTGGGAGAAATTGAGGTGGGCAAGAGGATTTAACAATGGCTTGCATGTGGAACCTTAATTTTGGTGCCAGATTTTTTAATGTTCATTGTTTATATGCATAAAGTATATGTATAAAGTATTATGGATATTATTTTAATTGCTAGTTGGGAGATGCCCAGAGTTTGATGTAATTTGGGTGGCTGTATAAATATTTTAAATTAAATAATGATCAAGATTCTCCAGCCCTGGAACCATCTAGTTAGTAGCTGAATCTAATGGTCTAATAGTACTTTATATATTTACTTTAATATTCCATCCAGTCAGGGGCGTGATCTGTGGTTTTTGTTTGCAAGGCATATATTATATAGAGCAAACAGTTCAGACTTTGTGTACCTAAAGCTGTAAATGAACAAGGTGATATGAATATTATCCACAAGGTGAGTTGAATGATAGCAAGGAATCTTACGATAGCTTAAAGTCTAACTAATTTATTATAGTATAAATTGTCTCAGATTACATTTATCGGCTTTCCTTCTTAGTTACCCCCAAAACTGTTTCTAAACCATGAGTATTTAATAATTAATTTTTAAAATTAAAGAGGACATCAAGGAAAAAAATCAATATTGTACAGAACTTTCTATTTGAATATCTGGCATGTGCGCCGTTTTTGTCTGATAGTTTATGTTAGGCAACTGCATACTTTTTTTAACAGAAAAAAGTATCTTATCAGAAATACTGTAAAACTGGTTACAGCCTAGTTAGTGCATTAGGTAAATGTGTCATAACCCTCAAACCCCTTAAACATGGGTGTCTGTGATACAAATATAACAACTTTCTCTCACTTTTCCCCCAACTTTTGGAATCTCCTTCCACAGGGTTGGCGCTCACTTGTGTGTTACATTGCAAGGGTATTTTTAACAGCAGGGGGAGCCCTTTCTTTTCCCCAGGCCTTTAATAGTTTGAAATAGTGCTTCCCAAAGTGGGTGGTACCACCCCCTGGGGGGCGGTGGGATGCCTTGGGGGGCACTAAGAGGCAAAGGGGCCGGCAGAGGGGTGCTAAGAGTTGGCAGGGGAGCGTTCGAGGCGCTGGCCTCACAGGGTCACCCCATTGACTATTTCACCACTCTGGAGCTGGCGCCTCGAATGCGGCAGCTCTGATGGACCACTCCGGTGCAACAGTCAATGGCATCCATGGATCACCTAAGGGGAGACAGAGGAAGGGGGGCTTTGACCCCATGCCCAATATCCAGTATCCCGCTTAGCCAAGCCCGCCCCTTTTTGTAGTTGCCATGCCTGACAGCAAGTTCACAGGCTGCCAGGGATCAGCCTCCTAAGCTGCTCCCCCTCCTGGGGCACTCACATCGTAGAGGCCAGTGCTGTTCCCTCCTTCCTGGAGCAGGGCAGGGTTGAGGAAGCCTAGGGCTCTACTTTCACAATGTGCCCCTGCTGAGTTCAACGCACCAGCTCCGCAGGCTTACCCCATTGAGCCCTTGCACTGCTCTGGTGCAACAATCAATGGGGTGAGCCTGCGATGCCAGCACCTCGAACACCCCCTGCCGCTTCATAGCTCCCCCAAGGGGACCAGCAGAGGGGCGCTAAAAGGCAGTAGGGGGGCATTTGAGGCACTGGCACTGCAGGCTCACCCCATTGACTGTTGCACCGCTCCGAAGCCAGCACCTTGAATGCAGTGGCCAGCGGCTTTGCTTTACTGTGCCGCCGCTGTCATATTGTCTGCCCGTCTGTCTGTCTGTCCGTTTCTCTATCTATCTATCCATCCATACACCCATCCAAAAGGGTAGGCACATTGGGAAAGTAGAGCAAAGCCTGTCTGGGAGGGAGGGAGGGGGAGAGAGAGAGAGAGACCTGATGCCTCAGATTGAAATGAGGCCTAATTTAGACTGAGGCTCTTTTCCACATTGAAACATCTTTGCCAACACATTGAAACATCTTTGGCTTCTGTTAAAGGTTTTGTGGATGAAACATGGTCAAGACTATCAGGAAGCTCTCACATTTTGTTGAGGCTTTAAACAGGATCCATTTGACCAGACCTCCACCCTAAAAATTACTTTTCCCCAATGTATAACAGTGCCAATTTTGAAGAAGGCAAAACCAAAATGTACTGATAAATTACAAGGAGAACACATGCATGCACACTCCCTTCTAACCCTGCTGGAGCAGGTGATTGGACTAGAATAGATATCATCTTTCTCCTCCCTCCCTTCTTTATTCCTTTTTCTTCCTGTCCCTTCCTTCCATCCCTCCTCTTTCTTTGTCCCTTTTTCTTTCTTTCCCTTTTCCTTTTCCTTCTCTTTCTTTCTCTCTCTTTCCTATTCTCAGGCTCACCCAATTGACTTGGTACACCGTTCCACTCGTACTTGCTTGGGCAGGTCCCTCCAGTGCAGCAGGCTCAATGGGGTGCACCTGTGGGGGCGGCACCTAGAACGCAGCAGTGGCAGCATATTTGAAAAGTAGAGCAAAGCCAGAGGTTGGTAATTTTTGCTGCAAAGAATCACAAAAGCCTCTGGGCTGTGCACAAGAAGGGACACACATGTCAATGCAATTCAGCAACATAAAATAAATAAATACAAATAAAACAAATCAACAAGAATCTGCAAAGCATCTCTGATTAGATTCTATTCACTTCTAGAATCGAATCATAGATGTTTTGCCAATTCTAGTCTAATGACCTGCTCCAGCAGGGTTAGAAGGGAGTGTGTGTGTGTGTGTGTGTGTGTGTGTGTGTGTGTGTGAGTGCATGCATGGCTGTCAAAACTCCAAAAAAAGGTTGGACTTCCGGTTTGAGCTGCTTCAGCGACAGACCGAAACCTCGTATCTGCGAGGCTTCGATCCATGCTCGCCACTGGAGCGCCCCGAGCTGGCTGGTTTCGGGGCTAAGACACCCCCGTAGATGTGGTAAAGAGGGGGGAGACTGCCAGCAGGGTTGAGGAGAGACGTATCTCTCCTCCCCAGCTGGCCATTACTCCCTTTCCCGAAAGGCAGTTGCAGCGGTGGTCAGAAATGGCCACCACAAAGAAGAACTCGACTGGAAAAGAATGTGCAGGAGGAAGATAAGAAGAGAAAGTTTTGGTTTACTGGGTCAAACAGCAAAAGCAACAGATAAGGTACCCTGGAATTGAAAGTGTTAAAAAACAATAACATTGTTCCCTATGAAGATTTTTAAGCTGCGAAGGAGAGAGAAAAAGGAAAAGATTTGGTTTTCTCCTTTTCCTATACTGACAGCTAAGAGACTTAAGCAAGAAATTGGAAAAAAATCCACTTTGACATCAATAGGCATTTAATGCTGAAAATAAAAAGTCAAAGGGATAATAAAGATTTCTGGATCATTAAAAGCTTTTGGAAACAGGAAAGGAGAGAAAAAGAATAAAAGGGTAGGATCTGGAAGGGAGGAGACTGCCTGGCATTAAAAAAGAACTTACAGCAAAATCTCAATAAGACTTCCAAAAGATACATTCTAACTGAAATATTGCAACCAAAACCCCAGGAAGAGAAAGTCGAAAAAGAAATAAGAAGATATAACTCAGGACTATCTGGATTACTTGATGATTTCTGGATTCTTGGTTATTGTAGTTGAATGACTAAAATCAATTGGGTGGTTGTTTAAAACTATTTAAAATATGAAACAATGTATGTTTAAAATGTCTGATAAAACAGCTATCGTAATTCAGTGGAATGCTTGTCAATAAATAAATGTAACAAAAGGTATATTTAATGATTTATAAAACATATGTAAAGAGAAATAAGGGAAAAATTAATTATGGAGATTATATGTGTTTTTAGGGAAGTATGATATTTAATCGAAAAGAAGTGTTAAAGATGTTAAGATTTTAATGATTATTAATGATAGAACTGAACTGGAATGGAATGAGGGTCTATAATTACATATATTTACAATCTTTCTTTTTTTTAAAGAATATAGTGTGTATTATAAGAATGTGCCAAGCAGAATTCGATTGGAAGTTATGTATTATGTATTATATTGAAGGTCATAAACTTAAGATATATGTTGAAGTTTAAATAAGAGTTGAATGGATGTAATTAAAAGATATAAAGGTGTCATACTCCAAATAGTAACTACAGGAGAAAATTTGTTTAATGAGAAAAGATAATATGAAATTTATAGAACAGACAAAAGTATAAATATAATGATTTGAATTGAGATGAGATAATCAAAATAAAATTGAGAAAATTAAATGAGGGGAAAAACTATATAGGAAATATAAAACAGTATAAGATATAGAATAGAATACAAAAAGGAGCATGAAATTGAGTTTTGTGTCTGTATAAAGAAGTTCAACCCGGGACCATGCTATTTTCAAAAAAGATGATTTACTTGTATTTTGTGTGTGAAAACCCAAATAAAACTTTTTTAAAAAAAACCCTCCAAAAATAGGTCAAGTAGCTGTGGGGAGGCCAGTCATAAATTAGAACACTTGCTAAGGAACTGGCCATTAAGTGAGGACTGTTTGTATTTGGTTTGCCAGTCACCTGGTCATGCCCACCCAGTCACATGACCGCTAAACCACACCTACCCAATCATGTGACCAAGCCACGCCCAGCCAGCAAGCCATGCCAGCCAGTCATGTGACCACCAAGCCACGCCCAGCCAGTCACGTGACCAGTAAACCACACCCACAAATTAGGCCACGCCCACATAAATTTGAATCTCACCCCTGGGTGGGAGGCACCAAGGATGAGTTTCTAGCACCAAGGGGGCGGTGGACTGAAAAAGTTTGGGAACCACTAGTTTAAAACATAAGGGATGCAGAGGATGTTTTATCACTATTGTAATTAATTATATATAATACTTACTTCTTTTGTAAACTGTACTAGGACATTTCTATTTTAAAATGTGATGTATAAGCATTCATATGAATGAATGAAAATAAGGCAATGTTATCTAAACTAGTATCTGCACATATGTGTGTTTGCATCATTCTCAGGACTGAACTTCTGATGTTTTTTTCAAGTTTGTTTCTCTTCTCGCAGATCAAGTTATTGAGATGACAAGGAGACTTATATGATTATATGGAAATTACATGGATTGCTGTTCTCAATCATCCTTTCTTTTTAACCCCCAGGAGGCCAAACTTTCGTTATGAAAATCAAGATTATATAGTATTTCTCAGTCTAGCACAAACAAACATAGAAAAGAAAGCCTTTTGTCACTGGCTGAGTAAGGATGATCTGTCTGTTATCCAAGGATTTTAGAACTGCAGGATACTTCTGCCAGAGGCTCCTATGCAGAATATTGAATACAAGGTAACAGTTTTGCCCATTTTCTGGATCTAATGAAGAATAGCTGCAAACTTTGTTAAGTTCAATTAAGTGATATAATTGTAAGAAAATAAATAAAAACATTTTTAATGGAGGTAGAATAAAATACAGATCCATTTCATCTTTAAAGGTTCCTCCCCTCTTCATCTGAGCGCTAGGCTATCTAGTTTAAGAGATGGGATTAGGATGAGGATTATCATGGTGGATTTTAATGCTCAGGTATCGCTGATTCTGCTGAAATTTCTTCTGCTGATTAACTAGCTCGTCACAATATTTATCTGGCTCCTTTATCTAGATTTATTGTTGAAATTAATTAGCTTACTTGGCAAACTTGGGATCACCATTACTACAGAATTAACCTTTCCCCAGATTGGTTATTAACCAATCCTAGCGGACCTTGGATCATTCATCTATCATGTAACAGCTATTAAAAATGGAATAAAATGTACCTTAATTTTGGGGAACATGTTTGACTAGGGAAGTGGTTCATTCATGTTTTCTACAGGGTGGGCGTGCCTCCAAACACTTTAAGTGGGTCAGAATAACTTAAGTATTACATACCTGTTTCAATCACTGTTCCCCTTTTTCACAACTAAAATTTATGGGAATATAACCCCAAATGGTTTCTTACCTGAGAGATATGAGCAATATAGTTGAGTGCTGTTTCAACAGGGTTTTTGACAAACTTCTTTTCTTCTTGTTTCATCTGAAGACAGAAAAGCAAACAAAGGGTAGATAAGAGTTAAATCGTTTATAATCTAAAAGGAGAAACATGTTGAATTTTTCAGAGTTACCTTTCCAATATCATTTCACCAATTGAAATATGTCTAGTTGATACTCGGTCATTCTGAATTCTTGTGCATATGATTTTGATTATTTTTTTCATTTTTTATTTATATAAAAATAAAAATGTATATAAAAACTGTTCTAAGGAACTGAAAGTAATGTAGTATGAAGAATACCACTTTTGGAGTATTGAAAAACAGCAGGAAAAATATTCTGAAATAAGTAATTTAAAAAAAACATTTTTCTTCTCTCACCTAACTTTATAGAAGCCTTCTAAAATACATTATAGTGACTGATTCCATGTCATTCAGTACACAGCATTGATGGGCAGTATTTGAATACTGTACTTTTCTCCATAATTGGGATACATAATGAGATCCCGATTGCCAGGTAGCTGAAATTATTTTTACAAATTAAAAGTACATAATAAATCATTCTCAAGTTTTCAGGAAATATCTTTTGTTTGGCTTCTTATAAATTAATATTTATCCACTTTCTACTAATGTCAGAGCTCTATTAAACTCATTGTTTAACACTCATTTTTTTAAAGAAATCCTGCTCACTACTGGTATTTGGTTAAAATTAAATATTTGACACATTCATCCAATAAGTTGGAATACAAAGTCTGAGTTCAGAGACACCGAAAAGAAATAATATTTCTTACAGAAACCAGAACTTACATTATCCTTAAGAGACAAATATTTGCAGCTTGTTCCACAAGAAGGGCATTTATCTAACAAGATTAAAACATAAAATGTTAATATAACATTGAAACGTTTCATATATAATAATGTCTGAAATAGCAAAATGAATGATTTTTCTAAAATTAGCAAGCCAATTTTTGTTTATATTCTCTGTAAAAAGATTTTGGCTGATCTCTAGATGTGAAGGAGGTTTGGGGCTGGATGGCACTTTGATAGGAAGCCATCAGAAATCTCAGAATTGTAGATCAATCTAGAATGTGGCAAAAACATCTGTACTGATATCAAGGAAATGACACACAAGTGTCCAATAGGTCATCAGAAGTCAGGCACATTTGAAGGAGACGTCATTTTTATTTCTTTGATTTTTACTCCCCTTTTGTGCTGTGTGGCACACACACAAAAAAGCCTGTAAAGTAGAAAAATCCACTTCATACTTACCTGTACCAGCACATTCTTTGCAAAATATGTGTCTACAACTAGTAACCAAAAAGTCAGATTTCTCTTGGCTGAAGCACTGATTGCAATGAAACCAATCCATGCTGCAAGGCAGAAAGGTAAGGTAGATTTTTCTCAGCTTTTATTGTGAATAAGGATGTGTCAGATGGTTTTCTAGAAAGAATTGTAATTGAATTTGAATTTTTGCAGGAAACAGAAAAATATATGTTTTTGAGGATTAGAATAAAAATACAATATTATTAAAAATATCAATAACGCTGTAACAGAATAAGAGGTTATTTTATACTTTTAACTGCAGTAAAAGAAAATTGAAACTGACTTTTTTATTTCTGCCTTTTGGTCTTTGCTCTTCTTTTTCTTCTTCTAAATATTGGTTGTCAGTTTATATTCTGTATTTAAAAATTTTAAAAGATGTTATAAAAAGAATTGGATTGATGGAAAAGTAGAAAGTTAAATTAAAATAAGCAAATGAATTATAAAAATAGAGAGGAAGAGAAAGGGGTGGTGGGAACCAGGCATTTAGACAAGGTTGGATGGATATATTGGATTGGAAACAAAGGTGTAATACCAAGGGACTGGCAGAGAAAATATAAGCAACTGAATGATACGTTTATATCAAAGATTGTGTTAGTGTTACTAAATTGGTTAAATGTTGACTATGTTAGTTTCTTTACCCTTTCTTTACCCACATAACCCTTTCTTTAAAAAATAATCCTTTCTTTAAGGGAGGCAGAAAGTAACATATCATCACCATCTTTATCTGAGTATTACTGTACGGACTGGTCTTATATGGACTGAAGAAGGATGATTGCAACTATATTAGGCCAATAGATGCAGTGGATGGATGGAAACTAATCAAGGAGAGAAGCCACCTGGAATTAAGGATAAATTTCCTAACAGTGAGAACAATTAACGAGTAGAACAGTTTGTTGTCAGAAGGTGTGGGTGCTTCATCACTGGAGGTTTTAAAGAAGAGATTGGACAGTCACGTCTGAAATGGTATAGAACAGGTTCTCCTGCTTGGACTAAATGACCTCAAAGGTGCCTTCCAGCTCTATTCTGATTGACTGATACTTTCCCACTGCATACTCACTATTAATGAATATTCACTGAGTTCAACAAATAACAAATAAAATATTATTCCATCAAAATATTGTGGACTTCAGAAACGTGAAAAGGAGAAAGAAAATGAGAAAAAAAAATTAAGTATGAAGGGAGGTGGGTCTTGCTCCATTTCTTGGCTTGGACCTATAGCAGGGAAGGAAAAGAATAGAGGTATAGATATTAAGAGGAATTGCCATATATCAAAGCTATGGCATAATAATGGTTTCATAACACCAACATGTCCCAGGCAGCAGAATGCATCACTTTTATCATGAAATCCTGTTTTATGCCCCAACCCTGCTTCTTCTAGTCACTCTGGGTTTTCTCCCATTTTAATTTATTGTCTTCCTTTTACTGCCAGGTCTGACTAGAGATTGATGACCATCAGTGATCTTCACTCTTTTGACATTACTGTATAAAACAAAGATATTCTATTTTTTGCCAAACCAGATACTTTTTTTTGGCGGGGGTGGTGGCTTGGTAGTATATAATCTCTGAATCTAATCCTTTGGCTATGGTGGTTAGGGATTAGGAAAACTGAAATCCAGTTTATCTGGAAATCAGGCTGAGAAAGAAAACTGTAGTCTTTAAATTTGGTTGCCAACTGTAGTGAAGCAATACTTTTAAAGACTTTTAGGAATTAATTAGGGGGTTTATGGGGCCTCAACTGGAGAGCCAGGTATTTTCACCCAGGGCATGGTGAATCGGAGTTTGGGCTGCTCGATATAAAGACACTAATGCAAGATTAAGACAGGCGGTACTTTAACGTAAAAATCATGAAAACTGCAGCTCAAATCTTTCTTCATTATCATGACATTCCCACTATTGTTAAAAGTATGATAAATTATAATCTAATCAATTTATATGTGATTTAATCATGGATTCAAGCAGTAGGTCAAGGATTTATGTGGGTTTTTTTAACATCTTGTGACTCCAGGATGACTTTCACATTTCAAATCTGATTTGAGGGCAGAAGCAGCATGAAAATGAGGATTTATAGGGGTTTCTCTTAAGACTACACTGGATTTGTGCTTTGAATGGGGGGAATCTCTGAACAAGAGGATGAACATCTATTTAAGATCACGTTGGACATGGAAAGAATTTCTTATAGATCCAAAGCACTAATGAAGATGAAACTTGTCCAAACAAGTTTCTGAATAATTACTACCATCTTTAAATTATTTTTCTTTGAACAATGTCAATTTAATTATTATATTGTTTGGTTTTGGTGCGATTCTTTTTTTAAATTCACTTTCATAACTTCTCCTTCCATGGCTGTCCCTTGAAAAGCAGCTGCATTGCTTTAGAATTATTTACATTTTTTAAGGGATGGCTTAACCGTTATGGATATTTAATTGCTTATTTGATGTATCTGTATTGATTTGACAGTATATATTTACATACTATATAAATAAGAGGGAGGGAGGGAAGAGAAAAAAGGAAGGAAAATGGGCATAAAAGGAAAGGAAAATAGAAGAGAGGAAGGGAAAAGATTAGAGAAAAAAAGAGGGAAAAAGGGAAAGGGAATTAATGAAACACTGGGGAAGTCTTAGAAAATAAAAAGGCTCCTAGTTATTCAGCCTCAAATCCCCCTCAGTTCAGTGAGTCACTCCACCCAGATGGAAACCATGATTCTAACAAGGTTATATAACCCAGTTTAATGGCTTTTTTTTAACCCCTTTGAGAATTCCCTGCCTAGGCCAGCCTATAAATGAGGCTCGTTCACCTCAGCCGCCATCGAAGTCAAGTGACAGGGAAGGCGGGCGGTTAATTTTGAGGGGAAACCTCCCCCTCCCAAATCAATAAACCCTTTTTTTCCGTTCATTGCTGGACTACAGACATCTTCCTCCTCAGTGTGGCCCTCAGGATGATGGGAATTAACTCCAACTCATTCTGAGGTGTGGGGCTGGGAACACAAGGGTGAGAGACCAAGCAGGCCGCCACTTTGCGTTGCTACAACGCCGCATCGATCCGTATTTTTGTGTCCGTGTGCGTTTATAGTGCGGGTTTGTAACATAACTGAACTGCGGAGAAACACCACCCTCAGAGGACTGGCCGGAGCGCGCATGCGCGACACTTTCCAACCTCCCCTCCCCCCCCCGCTTGAGAAAGTGGCGGGAAATTAAAGGATTGGTCGCGAGAGCGTGGGGGGCGGGGCTTAGAAAACTGGGCGGGAGTAAGCAAAGGCTACCCTTGGGCGTCTTCCGAAAGTGTAGAGCGGCAGCTCCCAGAATTCCAAGGGAATCCCAAGGGGGTCTGGGAGTTGTAGTTTTGTGTGATGACAGGTTTTTGCAAGGCTTCCAAAAGTTTTCTCACAATTCCTGCCCCAGTCCATCTTCAACTGGGCACCCTCCTGACTGGGAAGCAACAAACTCCTGCAGTTCTGAGAAGAATGCTAAGGGGGTGCTGGGAGTTATAGTCTTGTACATATAGAGGGAGCCAGGTTGTTGTAGCATGGATCTAGGCTTCCCCTGAATTCCTGTTCGACTCCATCTCCAACTAGGTGCCCTCCAGACATTGGAGCCACAATTCCCAGAATTCCCAAAAGGGTGCTGGAAATTGTAGTCTCACAGGTCTGCGGGATGCCAGATTGTTGTATCCAGATCTCCAAGGCTTCCAACGGCTTTCCTTTGAAAGCCCATGTTGCTCCATCTCCAACTGGGCGCCTTCCACAATGTTAGAGCAAAAACTCCCAGAATTCCAAGAAAAAAAAAATCCTAAGGAGATGGCTGGGAACTGTGATCCTACCAGATTCACTGGTTGGCAATCGAACGGAGGAGCGATTTGGGTGGAAGCAAATTGCAGTACGATCCAATCCAGGGTGCAGAAATCCAGATTGCCACTAGATGGCAGCGTAGAGATACAGAAAACCATGGCCCTTTGCTGCCATCTGGGGGATCCTGGACATTTTGCAGTTCAGACCTGATATAAGGGGTGTGTGTGTGTGTGTGTGTGTGTGTGTGTGTGTGTGTTAAGATGGCAAGGGAATTATTATGATGGGTGCGTGGGTGGAAAAGCACTGAAGATGGCTTAAAGACAGTAAAGTACATGCGTGGGAATCTTGGATGGAGCATAGGAATTCACATGACAACCGGCAAAGATGAAAACCGGATGGGCAGAATTTAAGCTTGCAAAGATTTACAGATTTCCATGAAAAAAAAAATCTACCTATCTATCTAAACCTGCCTACTGCAGCCTGGCGCAAGAAAAATTTGCCTCTGGGCAACTGCCACTCATTTGGATTCTCCAGACATGTTGTATTCCGATGCCCATTGGCCCCAGCCAGCCAGAGCTTCAAAACCAAGCATTGCCTTGAGCACCAGACCTGAATCTAGAGGTTGCACTTTTTCTGTAGTTAGTCCTCGACTTACGACCACAATGGAGCCTGAAAATTTCTATTGCTATGCAAGGCAATTGTTAAGTGAGTTTTGCCCCATTTTACAACCTTGGTTGCCACTTGCTTGGTTAAGCAAATCATGGCTGTTCTTAAGTGAATCAGGGGGTCCTTAAGTGAATCTGGCTTCCCACATTGACTTTGTTTGTCAGAAGCTGTCTGGGCAGGTTACAAAAGGGGATTGCAACTGTCATAAATACAGGCCAGTTGCCAAGCGTCTGAATTTTGATCATGTGACTGTAGGGATGTTGCCATGGTTATAAGTGTGAAAATCTGTCATAAGCCACTTTTTCTCTGCAATTGTTACTTCGAACGGTTACTAAATGAATAGTTGTAAGTCAAAGTCTACCTAAATAGAAAACGTGTCCCACTGTCACTTCATACACCAAGTTTGCTTAACTTACAGATGGCCATTTTTTTATTTATTGAATTTATATTGCCAGCTATTCGCCATTGGTGACTCAAGACATCTTACAGAACGTAAAACCAATTTAGCTGTTGGATATAGGATAGGATAGGATAGGATAGAATAATAGAATAGAATAATAGAATAAAATAATAGAATAGAATGAGAATAGAATAAGAGTAGATTAGAATAAGAATAGGCTAAAATAAGAATTGAATAAAAATGGAATGGAATGGAATGGAATGGAATAGAATAGAATAGAATAGAATAGAATAGAATAGAATAGAATAGAATAGAAAATATGGAATGGAATGGAATAGAATAGAATAAGAGTAGAATAATAGGGTTGGGTAGGGAAGAGAAGAGAAGAAAATCAGGAAAGAATAGAATGGAATAGATTGGAATTGAACAGAGCAGAACAATAGAATAAAAACATTATTGCCACTTTAAAAGTAGACTAATCAGCACACATTAAAATGAAATTTTGTTGCATTGAGCTCTCAAAAGATAACCATTATGTATATACCCACATATACACACGCACATATATGGTGGTAGACTTTAAAGAAACCCTCCTATACTACTACCTCTTACAATACCAGACAACACAGTATCAACAGTAGAGACCTTCAAATTTCTAGGTTCTACTATATCACATGACCTAAAATGGACACCTCATATCCAAAATGTCATCAAAAAAGCACAACAAAGAATGTTCCTTCTGCGCCAACTCGGAAAGCTCAAACTGCCCGAGCAGCTGCTGATACAACTCAACAGAGGAATTATTGAGTCTGTTTCTTGCACCTTTGTAACTGTCTGGTTTGGTTCTGCAACCCAACAGGACAGACACAGACTTCAGAGAGTAATTAGGACTGCAGAAAAAACAATTACTACCCACCTGCCTTCAATCAAGGACATGTATACCGCACGAGTCAAAAAGAGGCTGTGAAAATATTTACAGAACCCTCACATTCCAGACATAAACTGTTTCAACTCCTTCCCTCAAAACAACACTATAGAGCACTGCACACCAGAACAACTAGACATAAGGACAGTTTTTTCCTGAAAGCCATCACTCTGCTAAACAAATAATTCCCTCAACGCTGTCCAACTATTTACAAAGTCTGCACTACTATTAAGTTAATCTTCTCATCACTCCTTATCACCCGTCCCCTCCCACTTCTGGCTGTAACTTTGTTTCTTGTATCCTTAAGATTTATATTGACTGTTTCCTAGTATGATTTCATTGCTTATTGTAGCCTGTGACTATCATTAAGTGTTGTACCTTATGATTCTTGAGTCTTAATGAATGTATCTTTTCTTTTATGTGCACTGAGAGCATTTGCATCAAGACAAATTCCTTGTTTGTCCAATCACAGTTGGCCAATAAAGAATTCTATTCTATTCTATTCTATATGATGCAGAGAAACATCACAGTCTAGCTCGAATATATACACATACATGTGGGGTGTGGGGAGTAGGGGAGAGAATCCTGTGAATTTAGAAGATGGATGGGCTAAGGAACAAAGCTGCTAAAAAGTCTGGTAATCCCGCTATAGATACTTTGAAATCCCGTCCCAGAGTGGAGCTACAGAAACAGACCATGAAGTGGGTGTGCGGGGTTTCTAACGATACTTTGAGCTCTAAGCACATAGCATGTATAAGAGCATTCTGAATAATGAGAAGTGAGCTTCTTATAATCTCCACTGTCCACACCACTCACTGTAGGGGCTTTCTATCTGAGGCCCCGTGGCCACCAAACCAAACAATCAATCGTGGCCTCTGTAAAAAGCGGCCAGGAGAGAAGGAGAAAGATGTGCTCTCCGCATCCGACGCAGGAAATGTAGACCCTACTTTGCATGCTTCACTAAGGATTTCCGACTTAACATCAGCAGTGATTCACTTAACGACTGTGGCAAGAAAGGTGGTAAAAAACCAGGCAAAGTTCCATTAACAAATGTTTCACTTTATGGACATAGCTTTTGGTTTCAGCTGTGGTCATAAATCGAGGGCTACCTGTATATAGGTCCAGCTGACAATTTTACCTTACTACCAGCAGGGGGCAGGGCAAGCCTCATCCCGGGCTAAAGCAGGATTGGTCTCCAAGGGACAAAAATGATTATTTAAAATGTTTGCAGGGGAAGAGACGAAATTATGATTTATAATTTTTGCAGGGGGGGAGTGCAAAATTTTACGGGCGGGAGAAGAAAGCGGTATCCCTGTTAATCCTGGTTTGTTTGTTTTTTTTTTCTCCCCAGTTCTCCTTGGGGCCCTTCCCCAGCCCTCCCCTTCCCCCTGTTCCTTAAAAGATAGAGCCTCCCGCTGCAGGAGCAAGCGCCGGCTCCTTCTAGGGTCTGGTTCGCGACAGCTTTATCTCTTAAACCCCGAGGCACACACCCCTGACCTTTGTTCCTGCCTACTTCGGCTGATCGGAAGATAAGGGGAGAGCCCTGGACTTCACCCCCAGCAGATCAGCAAAGGGGACGTGCCAAACCAGGCGATCTGGGGACAAGGTGGAGAGGGAGGGAGAAGGGGATGCAATCGGGTGCGGGGGAAGGAAGGAAAGAAGGAAGGAAGGAAAAGAGAGAAAGAAGGAAGGAAGAGAGAGGGAGGGGAGAGAGAGATAGAGGAAGAACGGAAGGAAGGAAGAAGGAAGGAAGGAAGAGGGAGGGGAGGGAGTGGGAGAGAGGGGGAGAGAGAGAAAGAAAGAGGGAAGAAAGAAAAAAGAAAGAAGGAAGGAAGAGAGGGAGAGGAGAGAGATAGAGAAAGAAAGGAAGGAAAGAAAGAAGGAAGGAAGAGAGAGGGGAGGGAGGGGAGAGAGAGAGAGAAGGGAAAAGAAAGAAAGAAAGAAAGAAAGAAAGAAAGAAAGAAAGAAAGAAAGAAAGAAAGAAAGAAAGAAAGAAAGAAAGAAAGAAAGAAAGAAAGGATCCCTGCCCTAAGCCAGGGCTGAAAACGTTAACATAATCAAATCAAATCAGCAGCTGGAGGCTGGGTTCATGCCCCCCCCAACCCGCCCATACCCGCCCCCCCCGGTTTGCCAGAGACCCGCGGGACAGAATTATGGGGAGTGGGGGTGACTGGTGGGGGTGGTCTTATGCTGGGACCAAACCGGGCGAGAATACGCCGGATTCTTATCCCGGGCAGGTTAACCCAAGGAACTCCCAGCCACGAGAGCCAGCGCGTCAGGATCGGAGCAGAGAGGAGCGATTTTGGCTCTGATCAGCCCAATGCAGAGATGCGGATCATGGCAGGAGGCGGACCCCTATCTACACGCGTGTTGTCAGGGGTTGTCCCCCACACGCGTGCTTTCTGTGGGTCCACCCACGCGTGTTTTCAGGGTCCTCCCATCCTACTTGTGCCAGAGACCCGCAGGACAGAATTGGGGGGTGGATGGGTGAGAGGATTGGGAGGAAGGAGCTGGGAAGGGGTCGGGAAAGTGGGGGGAACACTCCCCGATCTCTGGAGGAACAACCCAGCCGTTCAGAGGAGAGGTTTTGAAGGAAAAGAGGAAGAAAGAAGGAAGGAAAAAGAAGGAAGGGAGAGAGAGAAGGAAGTAAAGAAATCTGGTTTGGACGCGAGCCGTGCAAAATGTCAACAATATCTCTCGGGCTATTTTTGGGTTCTCGCGGGAGGAGAGAGAGAGAGAAAAAACTGGGGCACGGCGGGGGTGGGTGAAACGAAGGTTGGACTCGTCCTAAGAGGGAAAATTTCAAAAAAAATCCCTTTTTGTTTTGCTCCTTTCCTCTAACACAAAGTGTGGATTATTATACACGATCATAAGGTTATTCCATTCTCTTACTACCATCAGGATGCGAACAGGGAGCATAGTCTCTGTTTTTGTCCTGGGCAAAGGAAACAAAAAAACAAAGACTCGAGGTTAACTCGAGGAACTCCCCGCCACAAGAACCATCGCGGCAGGATCGGAGCAGAGAGCCTTTGGCTCCATCAGCCCTATGCCGCGATTCGGATCGTGGCACAGAATTGTGGAGAGTGGGGGTGACTGGTGTGTGTGTGTGTGTGTGTGTGTGTGTGTGTGTGTGTGTGTGTGTGTGTTATGCTGGGACCAACCCACGCGAGAACACGACGGATTCTAATCCCGGTTAGAAGGTTAACCCGAGGAACTGCCCGCCACGAGAGTCAGCGCGTGCGCGATTTGCAGCAGAGAGGGTTGCATTTGACTCCGATTAGCCCAATGCAGCGATGCGGATCGTGGTAGGAGGCGGACCCTCCCGCCCCGCGTGTTTTCAGGGGACCCGCCCCCACTCACGCGTGTTTTCATCCCCACCCCCCTATCCCCCACCCGGGTCCCCTCCTGCCAGCCCTCCCGCGTTGGGGGGAGGGCGAAGGGAGGCTAATCCGAACTGAAAGCCGGTGCCGGAGGTAAGGCGAGAGGGAGGAGCGAGGCTTGGCCACCGCCCTGGCCGGCGGCAGCCGGTTCTGGCAGCGGAGCGCCGCCCGGGAGGAAAAACATCGCAACCAGGCGCGAAGGGCAGAGTGAGTCCGGCGCCGCCGAGCCAGGAGGGAGCCCGAGCTTAGCCGGGCCGCCTCAGCAGGAGAGACCCCACCACCACCGCCCCCAAAATCCTTGCCAGAAGCCTCGCAGCCCCTTAACCGAGCCCTATCTGGATTTGCACCCAGGGCCAGCCTCGGCGGAGCTCTTACTTGCAAAAAAAAAAAAAAAAACCAGCTCCGGAGATCGCGGAATAAACTGGGAGGATCCGCGGGAAAACTTGAGCCAATTAAAGGGGGTGCGCCTGGGGCGTCTCGCAGGTGGGAACTGCTGGGAGTCGGAGAAGCTTGGGCTGCTAGCTTGCTATCGAAGCAAACGGGCTCTCCGGACAGTCCCGGAACAGAGAATTATTATTATTAATATTTTAAAGTAACTTTGGCTTGGGAATTGACCTGAGCCCGGCCGGCCGAGACCCTTGGCTGGATTCTGGAAGAAATAACAAAAAGCCACTAACCAAGTTTTGGATGCTGAAATTGATAGCAGCCTGCCCCCACAAAAAAACAACAACCCCTCTTTTAGACAAGGCGTTCCAACTGGAGTAAAGGAGGAATTGTCTGGGTTTGAGCCCCTCAGAGCTTGCCTAGACTGACCTCTGAGCTTTGAACTCGGGATCTATCCGCGATTATCGCTCCCGCCCCGATCCTAGGAAAGCCCTCCTGTGGAATCCAAGAATTCTTGCAGATCTCCAACTAGGTCACCTGGCTCAAGGCAGGATGGAGGATGGTGCCCGTCGCCGAGGTGGCCCTGAGAAGGCGCCCGAAAAAACGGAAGGAGGCAGCGGAGTGGCGCTCAAGAAGGAAATTGGCTTGCTGAGCGCCTGTGGCATTATTGTGGGTGAGTGCGGAGGGGGTGTCTTGGGAGGAAGGGGGGGTCTTCTGCCCAGCCCCCCCGATTGCTGGCTCTGAATTGGACTGCTTTATTTCCTGATCTTAGCCCTTGCAGGGTGTCGAGGGGATAATCTAGGATCAAACACCAATTTTTCTTCCTTATGTTCTTAGTTTTTTTTTGATTTGGGTGAAATCTCCAATTCTGCTTTATTTATTTTTTTTGTAATTTTTTTTGGCTTTCTTCTCAGTTTTGGCCTCTGCGATTCTCTCCCTCTTCCTTTTATTAATATCTTCTCATTTCCAGCATTGATCCATCCAAAGCCAGCTTTTTCCTTCCAAACTCACCTCCCCTTGCCTGGCAATCTACTGGCTTTCTTCTGCTTTGGAGAGGGAGAGGAAGAGAGAGAGGGAGGGAGAGGGAGGAAGAGGAAAGGAGAGAGGGAGGGGGAGAGAGGAAGAGAGGAGGAGGGAGAGGGAGGAAGAGGGGAGGGGGAGGGGGAGGAAGGGAGAGGGGGAGGGAGAGAGGAGGAGGGGGAGGGAGAGAGGAGGAGGGAGAGGAAGAATAGGGGAGGGGGAGGGGGGAGGAAGGGAGAGGGGGAGGGAGGAGGAGGGGGAGAGGAAGAATAGGGAAGGAGAGGGGGAGAGAGGGAAGGAGAGGGGGAGAGAGGAGGGGAGGGGAAGGGAGAGAGGGGAGGAAGGTGGAGGGAGAGGGAAGGAGAGGGAGGAAAGAGGAAGGGAGGGGGAGAGAGAGGGGGGAGAAAGAGGGAGAGGGAGGGAAAGAGAGAGGGATGAGAGAATGATAGAGGGAGGGAAAGAGAGGAGGAAGGGAGATAGAGAAAGAGGGAGAGAGAGGGGGAAGGAGGGAGAGAGAAAGAGAGAGAGGGGGACAGGGAGTGCGGGAGAGAGAGACCTGGATTCTGCCCTAGTGCTTAACCATCATTCCCCAGGCACCTTAGTTTGAGATCCACCGAACTGGGGCTTAGCAGGAGACTTTCCCTAGACGGGATCGGTGTTTATCGTGGGCCCCGAGGGCTGCTTGGCCAGGACCACAGCCCCAACCCCCTGGGAAAGATCCCCCTCAAGCAACAAACAAGCCAAACAGCTGCGAGCCGAGCCAGGCCAGCCGTAGGAGGAGATCGCATATCCCAGCTTGACGAAATTTCTCCGAAAAACGCTGCTGCTCCGTTGCCAAACTTGGCTAGCTCCCTTTCCCTGCTGGAAAACAGACCACAACATGGTGCAATTCCTCTCCTCTGGCCTCCCAGAGAGGAGGTGCAAATTTAGCACAACTGGGGGTGGGGGCGGGGGGAAGGAAAAAAAATTATCCTGCAAAGCTCAGGGACCTGAAAGGGGGAAGCTCTGGCCAGCCGAGGCCTTGAGGAACAGATTCCCCTGCCCGCCCGCCCACCCGTCCGTCCGGGAGTTTGCTTTCCGCCACGGTGAAGCCAGCTGTTCAAGCGTGTTTGTTCCAGCTCCGTCTCTTTCCACATGGCTTCGTTTCAGCAGGTGCCAGGAGACCACTAAACAAACACCACAGACAGAGGCAGAAGTGGCGTTCGGAAGTACGGGGGAGTGATCACTGAAGCACCCTTGTTCCCCCCCCCTCCCCACAGCCACTCCAGTTTCGCCAACCCTTCGCCTGCCCTCCCCCCTCCCCCGGATTTCTGCCAGTGTCCCAAAGATATCGATGGCTCCCGCCCAGGTGTCCTCCTGGCTGATAGGAGCCGGGAGGTCCTTTCTTGCTTCTCAAAAGTAGGACCTCGGGTTCCCTTGTTCTAAATCTCCTCCTTGACGGGACGGCCATTGAACAGAATCAGAGAGTTGGAAGGAACCCTGGAGGCCTTCTAGTCCAACCCCCTGCTCAGGCAGGAAACTCTCTATATCCAGGGGTCCCCAAACTTGGAAACTTTAAGACTTGTGGACTTCAACTCTCACAAATCTTAAAAGTTGCCAGGTTTGGAGACCTCTGCCATATACCATTTCAGATCAATGGCTCTCTGATCTCTTCTTAAAAGACTCCGGTTGTTGGAGCACCCACGACTTTTGGAGAAAAGTTATTCCACTGATTAATAACAGTGACAGAATGACAGAGTTGGAAGGGATCTTGGAGGTCTTCTAGTCCAGCCCCCTGCTCGAGCAGGAAACTCTAAATAGTTGATTGTTCCCACTGTTAGGAAATTTCTCCTTGGTTCTACTGTGAAAGGATTCCTTTTCATCCTTTCCTTCTTGTCCTGCCTTCTGGTGCTTTGGAAAATAGGTGGGCCCCATCTTCTTTATGGCAGCCCCTCAGATATTGGAACGCTGCTATCACGTCACCCATATTGGAATGGGTGAGGATCTCCTGCCCCGGACAAGGAAGGGGTTGGCCTAGATGACCTCCAAGGTCCCTTCCAACCCCATCATTCTATGTTCTATTCTTGGATGACAAGCCAGCAGAAAAAAAGTTCAGAAGATGGAAGGAGGGGGGGGGGGGGAGGGGGGGAAACGGCTCAAAACCGCCCTTTTGCCAGTGAAAATGTTTTACTGCTTAAAGTGTGGCATGTGTCAAGAGCATTTTAATTTTTTCCCAGAAGCCCTTGATCAAGGAACACAGTGACAGATAACTGGCGGCTTTCTGTAAACACTTTTTGCTTAGTCTTCAAATCTCCTGGAACCCTAGAGTTTTGCAGAAAACCTTGGCTTTAAAATATTCTTTTCCTTCACATTTATATATATAAATATAAATATAAAATGTAGGGCTGTTTCTGTATATCAAAGCAAGTGTACCTCACTTGAAAACCAAATCACACCCTTTGCTGAACTTGCAGCCTTAATCTTTCGAGATGCAAGGATTGATAAGATGCCAAAGGCTTGGCACATATTTGCATTGGGAATTGCGTTGGGAAAACCGGCGATGATTTCCCTATTCTTGTTTGCTGAGTTCTTCCTTCTTTGGGGTTAAAATTGACCTGGTTCAATTTCCAACCAAGTGGGAAGTCTGGCACTCACCAGATTTCAGACTGAGATCTTGGAACAGCCTCGGGGGAAAAAAAAATCTGCTTTGCTTAAGAAGAAGAGAGTAGGATTTTAAGTCGGTCACTTTGGTGAGCCTGTTTTTAAAAAAAAATAATAATCCCCCAGCTGATAGAAAAAAGCTTTATTATTTTTTACACGTGAGAAAAACTTCAGCAAGTTTACTTAGCCAGTAAATCCTGTTGTTTTCAAGGTGATTCCTTAGTAAACTTTTTAATAAGCATTGCGAAGGTTAAACAGTATCTTTACATCAACATATCCATGCAAAATTGTTCTGGAAGGAACATCTTATTTCTACTCTTTACAGTATATAACCTATCATCTGTATAATTGTGCGTAGGTTTGTGGACATACTTGGGACACATTCAGGCAAGGCATAAATAATTTACCTAGTGTGTTTTAAGATTACATAACCAAGTTGGCAGTATCTTTTTAAGAAGTGTCGTAATGCAAGCATGAATATTTTTGGATTTTAACAGAAGGCAGGCCCACAATTTGACCGGGATAAAAGCTTATATGACCTTAAATGTCGTCTCTGAGGAAGTTTTTCTGTACTAACAGGAACTAGTAACTCTCTTTGGAGGTCACTGACTTCAGAACAAAAGGATTGAAGGTATCCCATATAGATAATCTAAAGCACTATTCCTTAAACTTGGCCACTTCAAGTTGTGTGGACTTCGACTCCCAGAATTCCCCAGTCAGCCTTGCATATCTCAATCTTGGTGACTTTCTGGCTGAGGAATTCTGGGAGTCGAAGTCCAAATATCTTAAAGTAACAGCCTGAGAAACGTAATCGAGACCAAACCCGCTCCAGAGCAGAAATAACAGAATAATAGAGTTGGAAGAGACCGTGGAGGTCTGCTAGTCCAACCCTCTGCTCAGGCAGGAAACTGTCTTCCATTTCAGACAAATAGTCGTCTAATCTCCTCCTAAAAACCTCCAGTTGTTGGAGCACCCAGAACTTCAGGAGGCAAGGCACACGAAGCAACAAATCTTTGCAAATTTGGAGGAGCTACACCAGTGGTGGAATTCAAATTTTATTACTACCGGTTCTTGTGGGCGTGGCTTGGTGGTTGTGCCAGGGGAAGGATCCTGTAAAATCTCTACTCAGAGGTGGGATTTGCCGGTTCTCCGAACTACTCATAATTTCTGCTACCGGTTCTCCAGAACTGGTCAGAACCCGGGGAATACCACCTTTGAGCTACACCAAAGTTTGTTGCTTGTTGTTGTCGCCTTCCATTGTGATCTCCTCTTGTCCCTCTCTAGGTAACATCATTGGATCTGGAATTTTTGTATCGCCAAAGGGTGTGTTGGAAAATGCGGGCTCCGTGGGGCTGGCCTTAATCGTGTGGATCGTCACAGGCCTCATCACCGCCGTGGGTGCCTTGTGCTATGCAGAACTGGGGGTCACCATCCCCAAATCTGGAGGAGACTACTCCTACGTCAAGGACATCTTCGGAGGACTGGCTGGGTAAGAGGGAAAGTTCTGGAAGGGAATAAAGAATTTGGTTTGTCCGCCAGAGCTTGAGGGTTACAGAACTGGGTTGGGTGAAGAGAAGAAACGGATAGACTTAGCAGAGCCTGCTAGGACTCCTGGGAGGGGTGGGTGGGGTCAGCCAGTAGGCTCCAATACCAGTTCGGTGAACTAGGTGCAAATTTAACATCTGGTTCGCTCAAACCAATCCGAACCGGTAGAATCCCACCCCTGATTTAAGGTTTCAGGAGTTCATTGTGTAAGTAGCAGCTGAAGCGAAAGAGCCCACCCAATCCTAGGCAGCATTAACCAAGGGATTTAAGATAACGTGAAGTGTTAATACTGCTTTATAAGGCCTTGGTAAAGCCGCCCTTGGACTGTATCTTCCAGTTTTGGTCGCCACAATATAAAACAGTTGTTGAAACTCTGGAAAGAATGCAGAGAAGAACAACAAAGATAACTAGGGGACAACCGGAGGATAAAAGATACGAAGAGCGGTTGCAGATGTATCCAGTTTAAGGAAAAAAAGGACTCAGGGTGACATGATAGCAGCCTTCCAATATTTCTCTCTCTGGAAGCAATTGGAATATATCTGCTGAACAAAACGGCATTGGCGATAGGAAAGGCATTCGGGCAGTAAACACTCCGCTCCATTCAGTTGCTCTGACTCCACCACGCAAGGGGTCATTAAATAACAAACAAGGACAATAATGGTTGCGGGAATTGGATAAGTCTAGTTTAAGGGGGGAAAGGACTCAGGGTGATATGACAGCAGTCTTCCCATATTTAAGGGGCGGCCACAAAGAAGAGGGAGTCAAGCTATTCTCCAAAGCTCCCGAAAGCAGGACAAGACGCAACGGATGAAGAAAACTAATTAAGGAAAGAAGCAACCTAGCACCAAGGAAATAATTTGTGACAGTGAGAACAAATAACAGTGAAACAACTTGCCTCAAGAAGTTGTGGTTGCTCCAACAGTGGAGGTTTTTAAGAAAAGATTGGACAACCACTTGATGGACTAGAGGACCTCTAAGGTCCTTTGCAATTCTGTGGTTCTCTTCTGTTATTTCCCCATTTACCAGGTGACAGTTAGAAAGAAGACCAAGAAACAGCCACTTCAATATACTGGGGGATATATTGGTTTGGAAAGGATCTCATTCAGTGGTCAGAATTCTTGCTGTTCTTCTCTATAGGTCTTCGTAATGAAAAGCGAGTAAGGACCAAGAAACCTTGTGCCTCCTAACCCGTCTGTTTCTCTCCAGGTTTCTCAGACTGTGGATTGCGGTGCTGGTGATCTACCCCACGAATCAGGCAGTGATCGCGCTGACTTTTGCCAACTACGTCCTCCAACCCATCTTCCCCACCTGCCTGCCTCCAGAAATCGGGTTGCGTCTCCTCGCAGGGGTCTGTCTTTGTAAGTAGGCGAGTGAACCTGACGGCGATAGTGTTACCCCAAGTTGTGTGTCTTTTAAATGTGGTAAGGATGCTTCAAGAGATGCATGTGTTTTGAAAAACAGACAACCACGCCTTGGAACAAAGCAAAAAGCAACGTTCATGAAGGATGCTTCTTTATTTATATGTTGGGTGATTTGCCCAGCCGAGGTTAATTCGTTGAACAAACCTGGGTTCCACAAGGCACAAATATGAACCAGTTGAAACTTTGTGGGCCAGATCTGGTTATTCTAACCTAACCAAATCCACGTGGGTCAGGCTAAAGGGGTGAACCACCAACCAGATCTGGGTTGCAAAACTTTGAATGACTACCAGGTGGCAGCCAAGAGTTAGGATTTTCTATTGGCCCCTACTGGCTGTCAGGAGTTTTGCAGCCTCTATATTCTTAAGTTAATGTATTGTGTGATTCTTCCTAGGGCGATTCAGTCACCATTGCGATTGCGATGCCATTTACAGCTAATTGGACTTTTTTCTTTTTAATTCCCTGTCTTAAAATTCCATGGGAAACGAACTGTAAAGAGGATTTAATCCCCTCATCTCACACTCAGTCTGGTGAATAATCACTCTCCCTTCCTCCTCCAGGGTTTGGCTGGATCAGAGGCAGTGAATTTAGCTCTAGGGTGCATAAACCTATACTAGTTAATTTGCCATATGCATCAAGAATTCTAATTAAGATTATTAGAACCGTAGTTTAAAGAGTGCTATAAAGCTGATATTGTCAGAAGCGTCAATACCCTTTTAGACACTTAAAGGAATTGCTTATGAATACAGTTAGTCCTCGACTTACAACAAGTTCTTTTAGCAACCAAAGTTACAAAGGCACTGAAAAAATGTGACTTATGACCGTTTTTCACACTTACCACCATTGCAGCATCCCCGTGGCCGCATGAGTAAAATTCGGGCGCTTGGCAACGGATTCATATTTACGATGGTCGCAGTGTCCTGGAGTCACATGATCCCCTTTTGTGACAAGCCATCTCAAGGGGGGCAAACCAGATTCACTTCATAACCCTGCTCCTAGTTTAACTGCCATGATTCATCATTAGTATAGAGCTGGAAGGGACCTAGGAGGTCTTCTAGTCCAACCCCCCGGGGATCCCATACCGTTTTAGACAAGTGACTGTCCAGTCTCTGACGACAAGCTGTTCCACTGGTTAATAGTTCTCACTGTTAGAAAGTTTTTCCACAATTCCAGGTTGCTTCTCTCTTTGGTGAGTTTCCATTCATGTTTTTTTTTTGTCCTGCCCTCTGGTTCACTTAAGAACTGTGGCAAGAAAGGCTGTAAAATGAGGCAAATTCACTTAACAAAAGTCTTGCTTAGTGGCGGAAATGTTGGACTCCATTGTAGTCATATGTTGTGGACTACATGTACCACAGATAGGTAGGTAGGTAGGTAGATAGATAGATAGATCTATATTGGTAGGTAGGTAGGTAGGTGGGTAGGCTGGTAGGTAGGTAGGTAAATTGATAAGTAGGTAGGTAGAAGATGGATAGATTGGGTAGGTAGGTAAGTAGGTAGGTAGGTAG